TGAAAAGTTTATTTTTTCATTGAATATAACCAGTTAGCTTACACGGATCGCCTCCTTAATTACCAGATGAATTTAGGATGAACTATGTATAACATGGGGCTGTAAATTATTCTGTTCATGGTCTAATTATGGTGACTTTTTGTCTTTGCAATCTCTTAAGCAGATTGACTGCGATGCGTGTCACATTCTAATTGTTAATAAAACAGTTTTTCTGTTCTATTGTTGTGGAGTTTCTCTATGGCTGCAGAAAATTTTTATTTTAATTTTGTTTCCCAAACATTGTCTAGAATTGCCAGATATCATATAAACAGACAAGGTGCCAGCCAAGTTTTACTTTCCCTCTTAGGCTGCCAGTCAACTCACGATTGTGCTGCGAAGTACGTTCTGTCCCCTAAATATGCAGGCAGAATTGTGTCTCTGCTAATTTGGTATCTATAGTCCTCTACAGTCACTTTTAGAGAGGTTAGACCAGATTTCTCCATACTTCCCAGGGCAGCAGTCAATAATTTTTTTTTTTTTTAATTTAATTAAAAAAATTTTTTTTTTTTTTAGACGGAGTTTCGCTCTTGTTACCCAGGCTGGAGTGCAATAGCGCGATCTCAGCTCACCGCAACCTCCACCTCCTGGGTTCAGGCAATTCTCCTGCCTCAGCCTCCTGAGTAGCTGGGATTACAGGCACACGCCACCATGCCCAGCTAATTTTTTGTATTTTTAGTAGAGATGGGGTTTCACCATGTTAACCAGGATGGTCTCGATCTCTTGACCTTGTGATCCACCCACCTCGGCCTCCCAAAGTGCTGGGATTACAGGCATGAGCCACCGTGCCCGGCCCGGCAGTCAATCATTTTACCTCTTTGAATGACTCTTGTATCTTTAGACCTGAAACTGATTCAGAGACCCTGGGGCCCAGAAACCCAATCAGAGTAGCATCTGTAAGTTGAGTTCATATGTAGTCTATCTACTTTATTCTTCCTCCTTTTTGTTAAGATGTCCACAAATGTGCAGGTAACACCTGCTGCTAAACCCATCCAGGACCTAAACCAGCAGCTCCATGTTCTGAATCTGGATCTTGCAGTAAACCTTTTAAGTGAGAAACGCAAATCCTTTCAGTTATAAGGCTCATAAGAAACATTAAAATGAGACCACAATTATGTCTTTCTCCCTTCTTTAAGCTATGTATTTATCTCTTGAAACTGCTTGCTATTGGTACAAGTAGCTATAAATTAATGCCAAACTGAACACTATAACCCACACACGCTAAACAGCTTAACAATGTATATCAATCAGTAATCAAGGTTATTCGCTGAACACTATGACCCACAACCTATATAGCTTAACAGTGTGTATCAATCAGTAATCAAGGTTATTTTAGTAAATAGGAATTTCTGACAAACAATTTTGTATCAGCCTATTCTCTCTATTTTTGCCTTTAGAAATCCACTTGTAACTGCTGCTATATTTCAGGCAACTTGAATCTTTGCTCTCAGGTTACAGTTCTCAAGCTCGGCCCAAATGAACTGACTACTTGATCATGTTTCCTTAACTTTTTGCTATTAAGGAGGAAATTAAGGACGTATTATTTAGAATGTGCCAGAACAGCCTCTATGAGGGGATCTCTCCTTTGATTGTACTTTTCTTGCTGTAACACTCAAGAATGCAGAGCCAGGTTGACCCTACCTAGAATCTGCACATAAGGTCTGGCCTCTGTCTGGGATTTACAAGACAGGACCAGACATTGGATTGAGAATGTACGGAAAACCAACAGGAGGTATTCTCTGCATTGTGAGATGTCAACATAGACATCTTAAAGCCCCCTCCTTTGAGAGTGTGGCTATGTGAGCTTTTCACATCTTGTTCAGTGACCTGTTACTGTTACGTGAGAGGTGCCAGGTGTAAATAGAAGCTGATGGCAGAAGCTGTAAATGTAAACAAGCATCTTAGGAGTGAGAGATCAAGGCCATGTATCCATGTATTCAAGACCACAACGTGTCCAGAGCCATGACCACAACTATACCTACCTGTAAAAAATGTGATACTGAAGTATTCTTGTCCTTCCTCTTACCCAAAGGCTACCTGATCAGGACAGGTGAACCAGGTTGTGGAGCTCCACCCGGGCAGTTCTGTTTTCTATTTAGAATGAGACTGTCTCTCTACTGCTTGGCTTAGTATTGGACCATCAGCCCAGGATCACTGAGAACCCTCTCTCAATCACCTAGGCATCTTTGAGACATTTGAGGATGTCCAGAATAAAACTGTGTCAGGCTGACAAGAGTGGTTAATTCTGCTTCTGTCTCAGTGTAAGAGAAATGAGTCATCCCAAAAAACGTGGGCTTCATTTGGGGCACTTTGTATTGTTGTGACTTATGAAATCATCATTTGAGTGGATGTTTATGGACAAAAGAGTTGTTATTGTTAAGAATACGTGTTTATCTTCTACTAAAACTACCCTAGAAAGCCCTAAGAGAAATTGCTTATTAGTATATGTTATAAAATTGACAGGGCAGTGGCTAAAAAAGATTGAAATTACACAAACTGTGGGATTTAAGTTTCTCTTGGGTAAGCTTAGATAAAACAGAACCGGAAATACCCCAGTGGCATAGAGAGCAGAATTCTACGTGTATTCTCTCCCTGCGCCAAATCTGTTTAGATTCACCCTTTGTGGAGGCCTTATTTAGGTCTGGCTTTACCCTGGAGTTCTGCCACACAGAACTGATTAAAAGAGATCAGAGTTGCTGGGCGCGGTGGCTCACGCCTGTAATCCCAGCACTTTGGGAGGCCGAGGCGGGTGGATCACGAGGTCAAGAGATCGAGACCATCCTGGTCAACATGGTGAAACTCCATCTCTACTAAAAAAAAATACAAAAAAAATTAGCTGGGCATGGTGGCGCGTGCCTGTAATCCCAGCTACTCAGGAGGCTGAGGCGGGAGAATTGCCTGAACCCAGGAGGTGGAGGTTGCGGTGAGCCAAGATCGCACCATTACACTCCAGCCTGGCTAACAAGAGCGAAACTCCATCTCAAAAAAAAAAAATAAATAAAAGAGATCAGAGTTTTGGGTGATTAATTCTGCTGCCTTTCTAGAGCTGTTGCTCAGAATTTCCTGAAATCTAAAAGCAGATAAATGGAAAAAATAAAGTAATATTTTAGGGCCTTAATTTCTTAATTTTGTATTAAAATCAGTGCCTGCACAGATGTGCCATTTATCAACTTACTGTGTATTCTATTCCTGTAGACTCAGTAGTTGCTCACAAGCCACAAACAAGTAAATATAAACACAATAAAAGTTTTTCCAAACTACATTAAACTCTTCCTTTCTTTATTCCTCTCATCTGTCTGTATCTAGCTTTTATTGTGTACATTTTTCTTTTCTTTTTTTTTTTTTTTTTTTTTGAGAGGGTTTTTCGTTCTTCTTGCCCAGGCTGGAGTGCAATGGCGCGATCTCGGCTCACCGCAACCTCCGCCTCCTAGGTTCAGGCAATTCTCCTGCCTCAGCCTCCTGAGTAGCTGGGACTACAGGCACGCGCCACCATGCCCAGCTGATTTTTTGTAGTTTTTGTAGAGACGGGGTTTCACCGTGTTGACCAGGATGGTCTCGATCTCTTGACCTCGTGATCCACCCACCTCGGCCTCCCAAAGTGCTGGGATTACAGGCGTGAGCCACCATGCCCGGCCTATTGTGTACATTTTTCAAACAAAAAAGTGACAGAAGAAGAAATAAAAACACTGGGCCCTTTATCTACATTCTGAGAATTAGTAAACACTTAATACCAACTCCAGCATGTTACGAGGATTAAATCACATAATGTGTTATTCCCAACACAATGCTCTGTAACATACTCTTGAGGACATAGTACCTGCTTAATAAACATTGCATTAGTGCATATGTAATTGTTGTTTTCCAAATGCAGACTTAATTGGATATTGCTGCCGTCCGTTTTCTCTATAAACTTTAAAGAGCCGGCAAAGAATGTGATACTTTAGTATGGAAGTTCTTTATTTGTACCAGAAGTATTTGTGTTGTTACAAGAGTGCTGAATGTAAGGGGACTCTGTGATGCGCCTGCTTTCTCTACTAGTGCTAATAATGAGATCGGGGGAACAACATCAGCGTTTATAGAGGACTTGTTTAAAATACTCATTCACGGACCATTTTCAAACCTGCAGAATCACATTACATAGAGTGGGGCTAAAATCACAAGTGATTTATAAGCTCTTCAATACTTGAGAGATAATACTTAGCTAAGTGTTTATCAGCTCAGGCTTCTGATTAAGAGTACATGGCCAATTTGCAGAATCTCTACTTGTGCCCTCCCCACAGGTTTTATTTATTGTTTTGGAAAGATCTATATTGTTTTGAGGGCCTCATGTGACTCTAAGGTGAGACCAGAATCAAGTATGAGGGGTTCAGGATACATTCATGAATGTTTTACCTTTGTACTAAAGGGTGGTCACAGGGCCTGTTCTGTTTGGGTTTGGTAGGGACAGGACAGAGTGGCCCATGTTTCCATTACTTTAGCAAAAATTGCTAGTGTCTGTGGCAGGGGAGGGCACCTGAGGACAGGATAGGAGAAACATCTTTATCTCCATAGAGCTGCTTATTTTTCCTGAATCTCTTCTGTTATAAAGGACAGAAATGGGTGGACTTTTTCTACAGGTCTTGGTCCTTCTGCCTGTGGGTGTCGTGGTAGCAGGTAAACAGATGGTGCTGACACCTTTAAAGGCATATTCTCAGGATGCAGGTGTAATAAGTCCAGAGAATCTCATCTAAGAAAGAATCCCAGAAAAGGAGGAGAAAGAGGAGAAAAATGACTATTTTTCAGCTAAACATGTCTCAGATTGAGAGCTATGTTCAGTCTGCCTCCTGGAATGCCATGTGTTTAGTACTTACAAACCTTTACTTCTTTACTTGTGTTTTTCTTCCCTAATGAGTTTGTTCTAACTACTTAAAAAATTTTTTTGTTATAGTCAAGTATCTGAAAAATACTTCTTTCCTATATGCCAGAGCCTTCTCTACATCATGTCTTCTTATATGCCATGTAGAATTCTCACCATGAATTTATGATCTGCAGTGTTAAAAATGTTCCCTTTGTGGCCATTGAACATGGGAAGATGAATATACTCAAGATTCCTATGGGGGAAAAGCTGAGTTCCTTAGTGAAGAAGGAGAACATGTAATATTGAGGTTTCATCTGTGTTCTGCATTAGCTCTATGCAGAACAGGATTAAGAAAATGCTTTTTGGGCCGGGCGTGGTGGCTCACGCCTGTAATCCCAGCACTTTGGGAGGCCGAGGTGGGTGGATCACGAGGTCAAGAGATCGAGACCATCCTGGTCAACATGGTGAAACCCCGTCTCTACTAAAAATAACAAAAATTAGCTGGGCATGGTGGTGCGTGCCTGTAATCCCAGCTACTCAGGAGGCTGAGGCAGGAGAATTGCCTGAACCCAGGAGGCGGAGGTTGCGGTGAGCCGAGATCGAGCCATTGCACTCCAGCCTGCGGAACAAGAGCGAAACTCTGTCTCAAAAAAAAAGAAAATGCTTTTTGAAACAGGATGATATTTATTACCCAGAAAGTTGTGAAGAAAATTATTAGGAGATAGGTGCTCTCTAGGATGCTAAAGAAAAACTATTGAAAATTACTATTAAAAATTGCAGAACATGGGAGATATCTTGAACTTTGCATAAAACAGATGTTTATTGTTAAATTCAGGCTATAATTTATGGGGAAGCAGTAGCCCAGCAGTGATGCTGTGTCCTCTGTGCATCAGCGCGTTATAAAAATTTGTCCTCATTCAGTTGATGTTAATGATTCACTTGGCTAAAGAGCTCTCTGACAGATTTTTTCACTCTAGAGTTAGTAATTTTTCTCTTGATTTTTAAGTATCATTTTTTCTTTTTTTGAGTTGGAGTTTTACTCTTGTTGCCTAAGCTGGAGTACAGTGGCGTGATCTCAGCTCATTGCAACAACATTCACCTCCTGGTTTCAAGCGATTTTTCACCTCAGCCTCCCAAGTAACTGGGATTACAGGCACGCGCTACCATGACCAGCTGATTTTTTGTATTTTTTGTAGAAACGGGGTTTCACCATGTTAGCCAGGCTGGTCTCGAACTCCTGACCTCAGGTGATCCACACGGCTAGGTTTCCGAAAGTCCTGGGATTACAGGCATGAGCCACTGCAAATGGCCGATGAATAAGTATCTTTACTTCTTTCTCTGCTGCGAGCTTCCAAATTGACAAAGAAAAGAAGGAACAACGGTCGTGCCAAAAAGGGCCGCGGCCATGTTCAGCCTATTCGCTGCACGAACTGTGCCTGATGCGTGCCCAAGGACAAGGCCATTAAGAAATTCGTCATTCGAAACATAGTGGAGGCCGCAGCAGTCAGGGATATTTCTGAAGTGAGCGTCTTTGATGCCTATGTACTTCCCAAGCTCTATGTGAAGCTACATTACTGTGTGAGTTGTGCAATTCACAGCAAAGTAGTCAGGAATCGATCTCGTGAAGCCCGCAAGTACTGAACACCGCCACCCCGATTTAGACCTGCGGGTGCTGCCCCCCGACCCCCACCAAAACCCATGTAAGGAGATGAGTAAAAGATTGAAGACAACTATTCCCTGGAGAAAAATAAAATGGAAATTGTACTTGATGTTGCCTATAAAGTGTATCTGCGCCAGGAAAAAAAAAAAAAAATAAGTATCTTTATGTAGCTGATGTGCATAAACTGTTACAGTTAATCTGGTAGCTGCCCTTCTTTATTAGGTTTTCTTTGCATATAACAGTCTTTGGAAAATGAGGGTTCTCGTATTTGTTTACAGGCCAGAAAAACTGGGAAAACTCACACTCCTTCCACTTACTGAGTGCTTGACAAAATATTCTTCTTGGGCAAAAAACATTGGCATTACTGGTGAACTTCTTAGAAATCAAGAAACTCAGACTTTATTCTAGATCTTCTGAAAAGATAAATGCATAACAAGATCTCCAGTTTATTGTACACATTAAAGTTTGAGAGATACCTTGGAACCTCATGTCTTTTCCATCTGAAATATATACACTCAAAAATGTATGTTTGTGTTCATGCCCTTAATTTTATACTTTATCATCCAGAAAAGTATCATATATATACTGGTGTTGTGGATCTTCATTCTCTTTTCTCAGAGTTAGAGAGTACTTTAGAAAATATTTCTTTGTGGAAATTATTGGATAATTTCAGTCATTCCTGTGAGTCAGAACTTGTTCTCATTACTCTCTCATTTCACCTTAAGTCAGATAAAAAATTCTGCCCATGGCAACTTGTAATGTGTGTCTGTGTATGTGTGTTTTACAGGGACCACTGACATTTAGGGATGTGAAAATAGAATTCTCTCTGGAGGAGTGGCAATGCCTGGACACTGCGCAGCGGAATTTATATAGAGATGTGATGTTAGAGAACTACAGAAATCTGGCCTTCTTGGGTGAGGATAACTTCAATACACAATTCCTAGCATGCCCTAAAGATTTCATTTCTTTTTGTAGAATGTTTTCTGGTAATTTATGCTTTGCATAAATGAGTTTCAGATACCAGTTTTTAAGAAAACAGATTTGTTAGTGTAGAAAAGAACTTCAAGATGTTTCATTTTGACCTGAACTTTACACGTTCCTAGGCTGATGTACATCCTTCACTCTAGATTAGTGGTAATTCCATAAATTTATTGGCATAAAATAGTGTTGTCACCACCAATTTTTTGATTCAGTAGTACTGGGCAGTATTAAATGAAAGATCTACACATTTAAAACATTTTAAAAATATTTAGATATTTCTGTCATAAATTAGTATTTGGGGATTAATTTACTAATCTATATATCCTCTCTACTGAGCACATTACTTTGTTGGTAATTGGAGAATATAAGCAAGATTTATGTTATCTATTTTTAATAAAACAGGTATTGCTATCTCTAAGCCAGACCTGATCACCTGGCTGGAGCAAGGAAAAGAGCCCTGGAATATGAAGAGTCATGCGATGGTAGCCAAACCCCCAGGTAGGTCAGATAGTGAATACAACAGATGATGACACGTCCAAAAGTTAAGCCAGCCTTTAAAATGTGATATGGGAAACTGTTTCCAAAGGAAATACTTTCTGGGAAGCCTGAGACTTTTTTAGTTTGCTCTCACATAGGTTATCTTCTGTCTAATGCTTTTATATTTTCTAAGGTGATCCTCCTTCAAGTTTACAGTGAGAACCAAAGTCCTTTTCATGGCAATAAGAGACTGTAATTTGACTGCTTTTCTCTTGTTTTTGGGGACACACAAATACCTGCATAATTTTGAGAAACTCTATGTTAAAATTTTTTTTTTTTTTTTTTTGGTGATGGAGTCTTGCTCTGTCGCCCAAGCTGAGGCTGGAGTTCAGTGGTGCAATCTCTGCTCACTGCAACTTCCACCTCCCGGGTGCAAGCAATTCTCCTGCCTCAGCCTCCCAAGTAGCTGGGACTATAGGTGTGCGCCACCACGCCCAGCTAAGTTTTTGTATTTTCAGTAGAGACGGGGTTTCACTATGTTGGCCAGGATGGTCTTGATCTCTTGACCTTGTGATCCTCCTGCTTCAGCCTCCCAAAGTGCTGAGATTATAGGCGTGAGCTATCACCCCCAGCCCAGAAACATATATTTTAATGCTATCATAAATAAAATTTAAAAAAAATCTATTATATCAGGTAGTTTGCGTATGGAGCCGCAACTTATATATTGTGCTGATTTACTGAGTATTAATTTAGACAGGTTTAAATGTTTATAATTTTCTCTGTATAATGTTATGTGATCTATAAATAGCAACTTTCTGCTTACCTGTCTTAAATTTCAATGGCTTTTACATTTTTTTAAAGTAATTCTTTTGTCACATACCTCCAGTGCTATGTTAAAAGCATTGACATTGACATAATATAGTTTGGCATTGGTCTATGTAAATTTGAAGGGGCAAACATCTCTTTAAGTTTTTATAAACTGGTTTCAGAAGGTAATATATCTTCTTTTGCCGTGATGGGATGCCCTCTGAGTTTGTAGTAGAGATGGATGTAGCTTGCTCACAGGCTGCTGGTTCTGCACTAGACTCCACCTTTAGTTGGGTTGTTACAAGGGGCTTGGTTATTTGTAATTTCCATTTTTTGACAGACTGAATATCCTCCAGGACTTTGCTCTGTAGGGCAGACACTAGGGCAGATTTCTGTAGTCGAATCTGCGTATGGTGGACCTTATATCAGGATATAGATAAGTATGGCTTTCACTAAGTACCGGAGAGGATTTCCCCGGGCCCCTCTGTAGGTTCCTCTGTAGATAGAACTGGCCATAAACAGTGGCTTAGGGAGTGGGAACTGAGTCATTATACTGCTTCATACTGCATATTAATTTAGACAGGTTTAAATGTTTATGATTTTCTCCATATAAGATTATGTGATCTATAAACAGTAACTTTCTATTTACTGGATGGTAAAGGGTAGTGGGCCATTTTCTGGTCTATAGCCAAGAACAGGAGTCCTGTAGTTGCCACCTAAATGAGGGCCTGCCTTCTGAAAAAAACACTCCTCAGTCTTGGGTTTAGCAGTTTCACAATTTCTCCCTGGATCTCAAAACTCTATTAAAATGCACTTATTTTTGAGATGGGGGGGGTCTTGCTTCACAAACCATTCTTGTCTTGAAATGCACCTTTTATTTTCCTATCTTCCTGATGTCACTCTTTCTGTACATTTTTACTTTCTATTTTCTATTTTAAATTTGTCTGTAATTTTAGATTCAGACCTTTAGGACAATATGCTAGAATTTACATGTTATGTCTGAAGTAAGTTAGATAATTAAAGTTAGTAACTAAAATAGTTACTTATAAATTTAAATTTGCTGCAGGCAAAAAGAAATAGGATTTTCACCCACTTACTTTAGCATATATCTAAATTATAACATAATGTATCCCCAAAATACTTGTTTTTTATATCAGAGACACTAACCATATTCTGCAAAATATAAATTTTTTTCTCTATTTGGCAATATAAGGGTATTCTTTTATTCTCAAGTTGGATTGCAGCAGTTTCATCTTGTGTAAGAATAGCATATATTTAAAATATAAAAATTATCTCTTTTTGAAAATGCTTACTTATTAAAAGATTTTCATTAGAATCTTCTACTTATGATTATACTGCATTTTCTGTGAAATTTTACTGCCATACAGTGCATGCCAGTGATTCAAATACTTGTCTTCCATGAGTACACAGTTACAGTCAAATATTGCAGTTATCCAGATGAATTCTTTTTATTTTATTGTTTTGATTGAGACAGAGTCTTACTCTGTCACCAGGCTGGAGTGCAGTGGCGCAATCTCGGCTCACTGCAAGCTTGGCCTCCCGGGTTCAAGCAATTCTCCTGCCTCGGCCTCCTGAGTAGCTGGGACTACAGGCGTGCACCACCAGCCCAGCTAATCTTTGTATTTTTAGTAGAGAAGGGGTTTCACCATGTTGGCCAGGATGATCTCAATCTCTTGACCTCGTGATCCACCTGACTCGGCCTTCCAAAGTGCTTTACAGGTATGAGCCACCACGCCTGGTGACAAATTCTTTTTAACGGTACATCGGTACTGCAAACCAGATTTTATGAGTAAACATTTCTCTTATAGTTTTACAGTTCCATGTTAGTATTTTGTTTTTGTTGTTGTTGTTTTTAGTGTAGGTTTTTTTAATCAGTTTATTGTTTCTTGTTTTTACAATTTTAGCAATTTGTACTTCTGTTTGTACACTTTAAGTGAATGTGGGGTTTAATTAAGAAATAAGTCAGCTGTATGTCCATCACAGTCTGATTATATATGTGTGTTTTTATCTGTAAGTATGACCTTAATTTTGGTTATGGCTTATCTTGTGTATATTCTTTCTTAGCTGATTTTCAGTGGTTGTTTTATCTGTCTAAGTAAGTAGGGGAAATAGTCTTCTTTCCATCATGCGTTTAATGATAAATGTTATATATTTCCTTTGTGTGAAACGCAAAGTAATTTGAAGGCAATTTTTGGAGAGATTAATAATTCTGTATTTTTTAGTTTTTCTATTTAAAAAATAATTGTAAAAACACATAACCTAAGATTTACCATCTTAAATCTATTTAAATTTACATTTTAGGTTCGGCATGGTGGTGGCTCACGTGTAATCGTCAGATTTTGGCAGGCCAAGACAGGAGGATTGCTTGAGCCCAAATGTTTGAGGCCAGCTTGGGCAACATATGGAGACGACCCAAATATACAGACTATTTTTTTTTTTTTGAGATGAAGTCTTGCTCTGTTTCCAGGCTGCAGAGCAGTGGCACGATCTTGGCTTACTGCAGTCTCTGTCTCCCAGGTTCAAATGATTCCCCTGCCTCAGCCTCCTAAGTAGCTGGGACTACAGGTACGTGCCACCACCTGCAGCTTATTTTTGTATTTTTAGTAGAAACAGGGTTTCACCATGTTGACCAGAATGGCCTTTATCTCTTGACCTCATGATTGGCCCACCTCGGCCTCCCAGAGTGCTGGGATTACAGTTGTGTGCCATCGCACGCAGCCAGAAATTTTTTTTTTTTTTTTTTTTTTTTTTGAGACGGAGTTTCGCTCTTGTTACCCAGGCTGGAGTGCAATGGCGTGATCTCGGCTCACCGCAACCTCCGCCTCCTGAGTTCAGGCAATTCTCCTGCCTCAGCCTCCTGAGTAGCTGGGACTACAGACACGCGCCACCATGCCCAGCTAATTTTTTTGTAGTTTTAGTAGAGACGGGGTTTCACCGTGTTGACCAGGATGGTCTCGATCTCTTGACCTTGTGATCCACCCGCCTCGGCCTCCCAAAGTGCTGGGATTACAGGCTTGAGCCACCGTGCCCGGCCCAGCAGCCAGAAATTTTTTTAAAGTAGCCAGACATTTCATCCTGTCAAGTAGCTGGTTACAGGCGTGCACCATCACACCCAGCTCTTTAGAGATGAGATCTTGCTACCTGTATATTCTGTAGAGACAGGGTTTTGCCGTGTTGCTGAGGCTGGTCTCAAACTCCTGGAATCAAATGATCAGCTCACCTTGACCTCCCAAAGTCCTGAGATTACATTTCTTTTTATGTAGTTTAATTAATTTATATTTAAAATAATTTTTTGAAGAAATGATATTACTATTACTAGTTTCATTGTTACTGTTTCTTATGTTTTTTAGATATGTTTTTTCTCATTTCCTGTTTCACTGCTTAAAGTTTTGTTCTAATCTCGTAGTGTCATGCTTTATTTTTTGTTTTGCATAGTTTCTATAAATATCTTTGGAATCATCTTGAAAGTGAAGATTATATAAAACATCTTAAAACATGTTGCAGTTTGTTACGACTATTACAAATTATTTTATATTGTGTTTCTATTAACAGATTCATGCAGATTTGTATTTTGTTTTTCATATTCTATAGAAGAACTTTAAGGTTTGATGCCTCATCATTATGATAGTAAAGAATTCTATGTGTGTCTCTATTTACATTTAATAGAGAGTTTTATATTTATATATGGTTTTATGGTACTATCCAACATTATTTTATTTTTCAATATAATGGACTCATTTTAGCATTTCTTTTTTTATATGCGGCATCTTACTATGTTGCTCAGGCTGATCTTCAACTCCTGGTTTCAAGTGATCTGACTGCCGTGGTCTCCTAAAGCTATAGAACTACAGGCATGAGCCATGGTGCTTGGCCATCATGTAGTATTTCTTTTAGAACTGTGCAAGGGATAATGAACACCCTTACCTTTTATTTTGGAAAGCGTTTTGTTTTTAAAGTAAAATAATTTCTTTTATTTTTTTTGAGACGGAGTTTCGCTCTTGTTACCCAGGCTGGAGTGCAATGGTGCGATCTCGGCTCTCCGCAACCTCCGCCTCCTGGGTTCAGGCAATTCTCCTGCCTCAGCCTCCCGAGTAGCTGGGATTACAGGCACGCGCCACCATGCCTAGCTAATTTTTTTTTTTTTTTTTTTTTTGGTAGAGACGGGGTTTCATCATGTTGACCAGTATGGTCTGTATCTCTTGACCTCGTGGTCCACCCGCCTCAGCCTCCCAAAGTGCTGGGATTATAGGCTTCAGCCACCCCGCCCGGCCAAAGTAAAATAATTTTTTTTTTTTTTTTGAGACGGAGTTTCGCTCTTGTTACCCAGGCTGGAGTGCAATGGTGCGATCTCGGCTCACCGCAACCTCCGCCTCCCGGGTTCAGGCAATTCTCCTGCCCCAGCCTCCTGAGTCGCTGGGATTACAGGCACGTGCCACCATGCCCAGCTAATTTTTTGTATTTTTAGTAGAGACAGGGTTTCACCATGTTGACCAGGATGGTCTCGATCTCTTGACCTCGTGAACCACCCGCCTCGGCCTCCCAAAGTGCTGGGATTACAGGCTTGAGCCACCGCGCCCGGCCTAGTAAAATAATTTCTAACCAAGTGTTACTGACAGGGAATATTTTTTCTCATATTACATCAAAATTTGGAAAGTTCTCAGCCTTTTTTATCCTCAAGCATCCTCTGTACTACTATTTTTCTGTGTTCTAAGATTTCTTCCATAAATATATTGATCTACTTGATGGTGTCCAGTAAGTTTTAAAATATTTATTATTTGTTGATGATTTACTTATTTATTTATTATAGAGATGAGGTCTTGCTATTTGGCCCATGCTGGTCTCAAAATGGCCTCAAGTGATCCTCCCACCTCAGCCTCCCAAAGTGCTGGGATTGAGCCATTGGGTATGAGCCATTGCACCTGGCCCCCAATAAGTTTTACATTCCATGTTTTAATTTTGTTTTGGACTTTATATCACACAGTTCCTTTCTGGTCTGCAAAATTTTTGTTGGCAAAATTTTTTTTGTTTTATGTTGCAGTTCTCAAGGTTCTTTTCTTGTCTGTAACTTCTGAAGTTTGTGCTTAAATATGTGTTTGTCATAAGTATCTTTGTGTGTCTCCTAGTTTGTCTGGCTTCTTCATTTTTATGATTTTTCAGTTATTGATTTTGTATTTTTTGCTTTCACAGTTTCTGTGGGGGAGGTTGATATTTTGAATATTTTTTGTTATCATTTATCTGATTTTCAAAAATTGTGTTTCTATTTCATTCATTGTGTATTCAATTTATTTTAAATTTCTTTATAAATTTTTATTTTTTGTGGTTGCTTTCTAAAAATTTTACAGTTTTTTTGATGGGGCCATGTTGCCCTAATATTTTGTATACATTGTAATCTTTGAGATTTTGACTTTTAAAAAAAAGCTGCCTGTTACAATCTTTATTATGTAGCTTTGTCCTGCATAATCTTAAACCAATTGTCTTGGCCAGGGACTCTGGGAGTCTCTCAGACATGTTCTTAGGATGTGTCTTGTCTGAAATTTTGTATTTACTTTTTAGTTAAAGGAGTTTATTTGTGTTTTTTCGTAAGTCAGTAATCACTTGCTACACATGTTCCCTGTCTGTGGTACTGCATTCTCTCTGCTGCTGTAATGTTTACCTTTGGTCTCAGCAGACTCACACTGTCATTCCAAAGTATACCACCATTTCTTTCAGCACTTTATGACATGGTAAACAGAAACCAGTGTCACACTGGAAAGGGTCCTACAGGCTAGAAATAAAGATGCATGTGCCAGTATTTTTCTTGCTTTTTAAAATAGAAAGCAGGAGTTGGCAATTTACTTCTAAAGGCAATAGGTTTTATTGGAGAGCAGAAAGAGCTGTTTTGAGTAGACATAACACAGTTTTCTTTTCCTTCTATGTGGCTCTGCATTGTTCGCACCTGAGGCACTGCACACACTGAACTCACTTATAAATTTTCCACAAATGTATTTTGGTCAGTATGATTTTGTTACATTTATATGTCTGTGAAGGAATTAGGGCCTGTGGTATATTGTTATGCTGTCTTGCTTATGTAGTTTGTATACTTTTATGGGTTAAATTTGTCAGGTATATTCATCTGAGTCTGGTAAGTGAAGTAACTTATTTTTACTTTTTTCAGTTATATGGTCTCATTTTGCCCAAGACCTTTGGCCAGAGGAGAGCATAAAAGATTCCTTCCAAAAAGGGATACTGAGAACATATGGAAAATATGGACATGAGAGTTTACAGCTAAGAAAAGACTGTAAACATGTGGATGCATGTAAGGTGTACAAAGGAGGTTATAACCAATGTATGATGACTACTGAGAGCAAAATATTTCAGTGTGATAAATTTGTGAAAGTCTTTCATAAATTTTCCAATTTAAATAGAAGTAAGATAAGACATACTAGAAAGAAACCTTTCAAATGTAAAAACCATGGCAAATCATTTTGCATGCTTTCACAACGAACTCAACATAAGCAAATTCATACTAGAGAGTATTCTTACAAATGTGAAGAATGTGGTAAGGCCTTTAACTGGTCCTCAACACTTACTAAACATAAGATAATTCATACTGGAGAAAAACCCTACAAATGTGAAGAATGTGGCAAAGCTTTTAACCGGTCCTCAAATCTTACTAAACATAAAATAATTCATACTGGAGAGAAACCCTACAAATGTGAAGAATGTGGCAAAGCTTTTAACCGGTCCTCAACCCTTACTAAACATAAAAGAATTCATACAGAAGAAAAACCCTACAAATGTGAAGAATGTGGCAAGGCCTTTAACCAGTTCTCGATTCTTACTAAACATAAGAGAATTCATATGGAAGATAAACCCTACAAATGTGAAGAATGTGGCAAAGCCTTTAGAGTATTCTCAATTCTTAAAAAACATAAGATAATTCATACTGGAGAAAAACCCTATAAATGTGAAGAATGTGGCAAAGCCTTTAACCAGTTCTCAAACCTTACTAAACATAAGATAATTCATACTGGAGAGAAACCCTACAAATGTGAAGAATGTGGCAAAGCCTTTAACCAGTCCTCAACCCTTACTAAACATAAAAGAATTCATACTGGAGAAAAACCCTATAAATGTGAAGAATGTGGAAAAGCTTTTAAACAATCCTCAACCCTTACTGAACATAAGATAATTCATACTGGAAAGAAACCCTACAAATGTGAAGAATGTGGCAGGGCCTTTAGCTGGTCTTCAGCTTTTACTAAACATAAGAGAAATCATATGGAAGATAAACCATACAAATGTGAAGAATGTGGCAAAGCCTTTAGTGTATTCTCAACCCTTACTAAACATAAAATAATTCATACTAGAGATAAACCCCACAAATGTAAAGAATGTGGCAAAGCCTTTAACCAGTCCTCAGTTTTTACTAAACATAAAATAATTCATACTGAAGGGAAATCCTACAAATGTGAAGGATGTTGTAATTCTTTTAACCAGTCCTCAAACATTAGTACACATAAGATAATTTATACTGGAGAGAAACCCTACAAATACGAACAATGTGACAAAGCCTTTAACAACTTCTCAACTCTTATTACACATCAGATAATTTATACTGGAGAGAAACCCTACAAACATGAAGAATGTGGTGGAGCCTTTAACAAATCCTCAAATTATACTCAAGAGAAACTACAAACCTGATAGATGTGACAGTGGTTTTGATTACGCCTCAAACTTTTCTAAACGTAAACCATACTGATGAGAAACCCTAGAAATGTGAGGAATGTGACAAAACCTTTAAATGGTTGTTACTCTTGATTGTAGGTAAGATAATTTATATTGGAGAAAAATCCTACAAGTGTGAAGAATGTGGCGAACTTTTAACCAATGCTCACACCTTATTGCACAGGAAAGCACTTATACTTGAGAAAAACTATATATATAATGTGGAAAAACCATTTATATCTGCTCACATCTTATTCAACATCAGAGAGTTCATACTCAATAAAGTGTAATTACTTTCAAAAGATTTAGAAAATATAGGCCTTCAACGTGAAGAAGAGTATTCTTAAGAGAAACGTTACAACTGTAGAGGGTTGTAGTAGCTTCATTTTTTGATAGATTTTTTTTTTTTTTTTTTTTTTTGCGGGGGGGTGGGGGACGGAGTTTTGCTCTTGTTACCCAGGCTGGAGTGCAATGGCGCGATCTCGGCTCACCGCAACCTCCGCCTCCTGGGTTCAGGCAATTCTCCTGCCTCAGCCTCCTGAGTAGCTGGGATTACAGGCACGCGCCACCATGCCCAGCTAATTTTTTGTATTTTTAGTAGAGACGGGGTTTCACCATGTTGACCAGGATGGTCTCGATCTCCTGACCTCGTGATCCTCCTGCCTCGGCCTCCCACAGTGCTGGAATTACAGGCTTGAACCACCGTGCCCGGCCCTTTTGATAGATCTTATTGTACACATGTTGTAGTAGAAAACCCTAAAGCAGTTGCTTAAACTTTGTTCAGCATCAGGGAATTTATATTGGAGAAAAACCCTGCAAATGTAATAAATATGAAAAAATGTTTTTTTCCCCCCCAAAAAAAACTACAGCTTGGAAAACAGAGTTCTTACTAAATTATATTTTTGCAGATGCAGTAAATATGATAAATGTTTAATCTAAAATTAAGTCTATGTAAATAGCAGAGAATAGAAATCATAAAGCATAAAGCATTGACACTTCAGATATTACACTAGAGTGTTGAGTAGGAAATAATCCACAACTAAAATTGTTAGATAAGTTATTTATGTATAACTTTAAAAGACAAAGATTGTTTGGAGATTTATAATTACTTTCAAAGTATCCTTTTTCTTGAAGAAAATTACAGATTTTTTGAAATGCAATTATGTAATTTAACTCTCAAATTTATGTTTTTCTTCATTCCTATTGTATTCTCATGTGAAAGCAAGTGATCAGTTGTTGCTGCATCAGAGATAAGAGATTCTTTTTTATAAGTGGGCATTATCTATGACCCTTTTTATGGAAGAGTGAGAAAATTATAAGATGCATGAGGAAAATCTAAGTAGAGATGCTCTTTGTGGTTAACTTAGAATCTTAAGTGCTGCTTGAGGTAGATGTTCAGCCTAATATTCTTTTGCATTAGGCGAGAAAAATTTTAAATTTTAAATTAAAATTAGTATATCATTTTGTTGATTGTGCTTTTATGTAATAAAATGCAGTACTTTAAAAATTTAGATTATGTGTGAACTTAATTTTTTAATTAAACATTATTTTTAACATGTTAAGACTTGTGTCTTAATTCAATTATATGTTGTTATGCCACTAACTTGAACCTACTCCACCTTACTCAACGGTGTGGGGTGAAAAATGGTAACAATATATTATATGGTAACATAGTGGACTTACATCTCTAGTAATCTTTTCCAGCAGCTTAAATTGCAAATACATTAAAGAGTATTGTTCCCATAGATTAAATTATCTTTTTAAAATTTAAATTTATTTTTTAAATATTTGTGGGTACATTGCATATATATTTATGCCATAATTTGATGCAGGCATACAATATGTAATCATATCAGGGTAAATGAGGTATTAATCACCTCTAGCATTCTCGATATTACAGACAAACCAGTTCTGTGTACACTTTTAGTTGTTTTGAAATGTACAATTGTCACTACAGGGTCATTTTTATGATCATAATAAAATTGTATAGAAGTACAAATAAAGTCCATATTTCTGAGTCCTAAATTTTATTTTTAAAATTTTGTCATAAAGTTTTCATTGAACATGTGACCTCTATTCCTGCAAACACAGACTTTTGGTTTTGATATACATAAAGATACACATATGTTGCTCTAAAAGTAAAAGTATAAGAAAATTATGTTTGTGTAAGTATGAATTTGTATTTTCAGAAGAAAAATGAGAACAAAAAATTATTTTAATAAGGTGACTAATTTACTAGAAAACTAAAAACCTCAATATGTGTGAAGCAGATTTACACTGTGCTTTGTATTTAATTCACAACTATAAGATCCTAGGGCTTATGGTTCAGACTCTCCCTTGGTAATTTCTCTGTTTTGCTTGCCTGGTACTCATGCTAGATCCATAATTTTTGTTTTTAGTTTCCTATAACTATTTTGTTTTATAGATTTTGAAGTATTCATTATGTGAGCCCATCAGAGATTATAATAGTTTATAAAAGTAGTGTACACAATTTTTAGATGTAATTCACAGTGTTTTAATTTCTATTTTTAGTTAAAACTTTATTTTACTTAGAAATCCTATATAAGACTACTTTAGTTATTGTTGCTTTCAGTTTTTTAAATTGACATAGTATTTTTATTGAGCCAGTTTGTTCAAGTATATACTAGGGAGACTTCATAAGTCAGGATGAAGTTTTTTTTATATATAAACGCAGCAAGCAAACATGACAGTGCTTGCTGTGTCACAGGTGCTTAATGATAATCTGTAAGTATTCCTCCTGGAGTTTGTAACTTCAAGTCAAAGAAAATATCAATGGTGAAGAAATAATAGTGACTCTTCATGTAGAGAGGACATTTTTTGTAGCATGCAAAGCTGACTTGGTGAATTTAAAGAGAAATTTTGCTTTTACTTTCTAATTATCTTCAGTTTTGCCTTTTTATGTGTATTCCAACTATGTATGCATCACAGCTCTTCTGTTTTGTGTATCTTCATGTAAAAATAAAAGCAAAAAATTAATGACTATCACAATAAATGCAGAAAAGACATCCAAGAAAATTCAGTGTTCATAAAAATATTCTCAACAAGACATTGAAGAAACATGTCAAAATAACAATATGACAAATTCTCAGCATACTGAACAGGCAAAAGCTAAATGCATTCTCCATAATAGTACAGGAGTTATTAAGAAATTGTGTTTAAGAAATTATGTACCTGGAAGCCAGGTACATTCAATATGGCATCTCCCACCCTCTTCCTTCCAGTTATCGCGTGCTGGTGTCATGGCAGTCTTCAGGTAAAACCACGTGTACAAGTATGGCTGCTCTAAAGTGGAGACCTTATTTGCATAATAAAGACTAGGGTGGCTGTGTAAATGGCACATCTGGTCAAACCAATCCCCTGGGTCCTATGCAAATTAATCACAGCCCCCTCAAGCCTCTGTACAAAATTGATTGCATTCCTCCACAAAGTGAGAACCTCTTGGGTAACCCACATTCTCAACGTGAGGAAGCCTTCTGTCTCCTTTTTTTGTCTAAACTTTCTGCTCCTAAACCCACTCCTTTTGTGTGTCCATGTCCTGATTCTTGACCATGCCAAAGAACCAGAGTATATATCCCAGACAAGCCATTTCAATAATTAGAAATGACATGAATATCCATTTTAAACACTTCTATTCAACATAGTTCTGCAAGTCCTAGCCAGAGCATTGTAACAGGATAGATAAAAGACATCCAAATAGAACAGGAAGAAGTCAGATTATCTTCAGTGATTATATAATTTGCCTAGGACATTTTAAAGTTTTCACCAAAACATGTAGCCTAAAAAATGACTTCAGTAAAGTCTGAATACAAAATCAACATGCACAAAGGCGTAGTATTTCTATACACCAATAACATTCAAGCGGAGAACGAAATCAGAAACAGTTCTATTTACAATAGCCAGAAAGAAACAACAATATACCTAGGACTATATTAAGGAGGTAAATATCTCTGCAAGAAGAACTTCAAAGCACTGCCGAAGAAATCAGGCAACACGAATAAATGGAATAGTATTTCATGCTCATTAATTTGAAGAATCAATTAAAATGTTCATGCTGCCCAAAGCAACCTACAGATTATGTGTTATTTCTAGGAAATTATCCATTCCTTTTTTTTTTTTTTTTTTTTGAGATAGACTCTTGCCCTGTCACCCAGATTTGAGTGCAGTGGTGCGATCTTGGCTTGCTCACTGCAACCTCTGCCTCCCAGTTTCAAGCAACTGTTCCATCTCAGGCTATGGAGTAGCTGGGTCTGCAGGCACACACCATTACACCTAGTTAAATTTTTGTATTTTTAGTACAGATGGGGTTTCACCATGTTGGTTAGGGCCTGGTCTTGAACTCCCCATCTTAAGTGATCCACCCATCTCAGCCTCCAAAAGCATTGGGATTACACGTGTGTCCCACTGTGCTCAGCCTTCAATGCCATTTTTTATGGATTTACAAGAAGTAAACTATTCTAAAATTCATATGGAAGAATAAGAGCTCAAATAGCCACAGCAAGTTTAAACAAAAACGGTAATCCTGGAGGCTTCACATTACCTGACTTCAAACTGCACTACAAGCTACAATAACCAATATAGCATGGTTCTGGCACAAAAATATACATATAGACCAATAAAACAGGAGAGGGCTTGGAAAAAAAGCTGCACTTCTACAATCAACTTATTTGTGATAAAGTCAACAGAAATATCAACCAAGGGGCCAGTCGCCATGGCTCATGCCTGTAATCCCAGCACTTTAGGAGGCTGAGGTGGGTGGATCATCAGATCAAGAGTTGGCGACCAGTCTGGCCAACACAGTGAAACCCTGTATCTATAAAAACACAAAAAAATTTGCTAAGTGCCAAAAACAAAAACAAAAACAAAAACTAATTGGCCAGAGGAACTTGGGAAGGTGGGAATTTCTCCCAGGATAAATTCCCCTGCTCCACCCACAGAGAATTTCCAGCTCTCTGGAATCCCCTCCCACATGGTGGGAGCTCCCTTTCCCCTTTGGGATTTCTCCTCTGAAATCCCCTTCCAC